GAAACGGGCGCTTTCCTGAAATTTCCCTCTTAAAATGAAGATGCGTGTTATACGCCTGTGCGTGTTATACGCCGATAAATACGGTATCTCATTTCTAATGAAAAGCATAGGATTAGGTTGCACTTATGCATTAATAAAGGAGACTACATTAGTTTCAATGTATATATTTTTATAGTATGAACACGATAATGATTTTTATGTGCTTCAAAAGGTATTTTGTGGAACCTGAATTATTGTTTTGCATATCCATAAAATGACAGGTGGCTTAAAATATAAGAAATATAAATTACTTTATTTATTGAACAAATTTATATGGCCATCCAACACCCTCATTATTATTTAATATATTTTTTAAAATTCAAAAGATAACACCCATACAGTTTATTTCTTCCACTACCTAAATATTGGTACTGTACTTTGAACATTAAATACTGGAAATTATTGCTAGTATCTATGAAAATCATTTCATTTATTGTCTTTGGTTGGTCTATTAATATCCTAAAAATGTATTTCAAATGTTTGAATTTGCTTTGGTGTTTACTGCGCTATATATAAAGAAGTCATTCCTGCTTGGTTATGTATACCGGCATATTAAGTATTTTATCCCACCAGAATAAACACATAAAAAGAAACACATCCAACAATATGTAGAAAAGTCATAAGAGGAAAAGAAAAATACTAACCTTCCAAACGTATCTTAATATAGTCTAAACAAAACTGGAAAAGAAAATTTATATTACTACAGGTATATGTTCACATTAACAACGCATAGTTTGAAATTATTCACAATGAATTAAACCTAGACCATACAGAAATGTACTGTCCTATGTCTGCTTCAGTGCAAAGACTGAGACTTGCTGAATTTTGTTAATCATTTTTTTTTTTCATAATTTGGGACATAGGCATTCTTCCATGAGTACATAATCACTTTTTTGGTAACAGTCCCAATTCAATATATTCAAACTTCTTCACAGATTGAAGGATTTGATATTTTTGGAACAGTTTAAAAATATATTAACATCTTTAACTCCTAACTCTCAAGAATATAGTTAGCTATACAGAAATCACAGGATGGCAGCAGAGTTTTACTTCTATTCTTTTTGTCGCCATCTAATCTCCCTGCAGGTCCAAAAACCTGGTACTTGCTACATCTAAAATTTTAGGATCTGCTCCAGATTCTGGACTAATAGAACCCAGAACAGGAAAACAATAATGGATCTTATTCAGTTTAAAAACTGACTAGCCCAGAATAGTGACAGAATGTATGAGAGACAACCTGTTTGCTCTATGTGCAAAACAAATAGAAACATTTTATATTATGTGCATAACTCTAAAGTATAATTCGATCACATCTGACTACTCCTTAACATTCTCAAAGCTCCATGCTAATTTCAATTATTTTTAACTACATCTTTAGATTTACTACCACTATAAAACAGAATTGACAAATCTGTTACTTTACTTACAATTACAGGATCCACCACCATTTTTCGCAGAGTTCCTATTCTTATACTCCGACAGTGTAATATGACACTTTCGTAGGAGTTCTGATATTTTGAAGGAATATCAGTCACAGTTTCTTGGGGGGAAACTTTTCGACGCTTTACATTGGATACAATGTTGCCAAACTGTAAAATAATTAATATCACCATCTTAATTTATGAAAAATAACAATTATAACATGCATTTAAAACATATGGGCTATGTTTCAGAATTACTGAAAACTGGCCAAAATATTCAAAGTGAAACTTTTTTTTAACAGAATATTTGTGCAAACAATGTAAATATTAAAAGTATGTCAGTGGCACACTTCGTATACAAATTTGGGATGGGATTCTGCATGCAACTCTTCTGAATTTGAATTAACTGCTTCCATATCATACACATAATTTATTTAAAGATATTTTCTACATCAGTAATTGCAAGACAAAGCGGGATGACTCTAAAGTCATAAGAAAGGGATAAAGATAAAGGTATAGTGATAACCTTTTCTTGTAATGTGTTTCTGATGTTTGTGCAACAAGTCTTTATTACAAAGAGCCCTAAGCAAATAAATGTATCATTCAACAGATGTCAAAACATAGCATCAACAGGCCTTCATCTGGGTAGAAAGAAGATTGCTCCAGAAGAGCAATCCAGAAGATAAAAGACTGAAAATCCCTTTCTTAGATCATCATGTGACATCTCCAGAAGGTGATGTCACCAATATAATTTCTCTTGATTACTAGAATGATATAATAGGCCTATAATTAGAGATAAAATCATTCAGTAACCATTCTAGGCTGTGTTTGCTAGGCAGCGTTTCGCAACCTTGGCAGCTTTAAGATTTGTGAACTTCGGACTTCCGGTTTGAAGGGCTTCGGCGACAGACAGAAATCCGCGATTGTGCACGGTTTCTGTCTGGGCTCACCGCTGGAGCGCCCCGAGCCGGCTGGTTTCGGGGCTAAGCCACCCCGTAGAGGTGGTGAAGAGAAGGGAGACTGCCAGCAGGAGAGCCGCATCTCTCCTCCTCATCTGGCCATTACTCCCTTTCCCGAAGGCGGTTGCAGCGGTGGTCAGAAATGGCCACCACAAAGAAGAACTCGACCGGAAAAGAATGTGGAGGAGGAGGATAAGAAGTGAAAGTTTTGGCTGACTGGGTTAAATTATAAAAGCAACAACCAAGGTACCCTGGAATTTAAACTTACAAAAAATAACATCGCTCCCAAAGAAGAGTCGGAAGCAGCGAAGGAAAGTGAAAAGGGAAAGGTTTGGCTTCTTTTTTTTCTTCTCTCTTCTTCCCTATACTGACAACTAAGAGACTTAAATAAGAAATCGGAAAAATCCGCTTTGACATCAATAGGCAATTAAGCTGAAAATAAAACAAAATGCCAAAGGGATAATAAAGATTTCTGGACATTAAAAACTTTCTTTTTCATAAGCAGGAAGGGAGAGAAAAAGAATAAGGGCAGGATCTGGAAGAGGGAGGAGACTGCCTGGAATTAAAAAGAATCTAAAGTAAAACTTCAACAAGACTTCTAAAAGATACATTTTAAGTGAAACTTTGCAACTAAATAGTAACCCCACGAAGAGAAAGTGAAAAAAAAAGAGCAAAAAAGAAACAGTTTGCGTGTATTTGGTGATCTTTGGATTTTTGGTTATTATATTTGAATGATTAAAATCAATCGGGTGGTTGTTTAAAAATTTATACAATGGCACCACTTCTGGATGAATTGAAAATGGAACTTAAAAAGTACAAAGAAGATGCACAAGAAGGGAAGGGTTCTTTTGGCTTCGTTTTTCAATTCTTAGAAATGGAGATTTGGAACTATGAGAAACAACAAGAAAAGACTGCAAAACAAGAAGACTGGGACAAAGAAGAAGCCATCTTTAATGAACAAGTAATTCTATGTGGGGGAAGAAAAAGGAAAGGGGGGAAAGAGAATGGAGAATTTAAGACTTAAAAAAACAACCAAAGAAAAGAAAAATAATTCGAAAAATAAGTATAATACTGGAAAGCAACAGAAAAGGGGCATACAGAAGAGAGAAATAGAGGTAGAGAGACAAGGGGGTAAAAAGGGGAGAGAGAAGAGAGGGAAGAAGGAAAAGAAAAGAAGTTACAAAGGACCGGAGCAAGATATAGAGAAACAGGACCTATTTAGAGATAATGGGTGAAAATCTAACTGAAAAAGGGATTCTGTAAAGTTACATAAGATTGTATTGTTATATTAGTAATAACAATAACTTCCAGAAAATTGGAAACAACGTATGATTAAAATGAGGGATAAAATAGTTAGTGTAATTTAGTGAAATGTTTGTGAATAAAGTAAGTGAAATAAAATAAATGAGAAAATTGAATTAGGAAGGAGCGGGAACATTTTAATTAGTTAATATTTTATAAAATATAAGTGAAGGGGGGGGGGAATTAATTATGGAAAGCTTATAATTGTTCCCATAGAAGTATGATATTTAATTGAAAAGTAATGTTAAAGATGTTAAGACTTTAATGAATATTAATATTAATGATAGAATTGAATTGGAATGGAATGTTGTTTTAATTACATACATTTATATATATTTTTTCTGTTTTTAAGAATATAGTGTGTATTTTAAGAATGTACCAAGCAGAATCCGAATGGAAGTTATGTATTATATTGAATGTTACAACTTTAGGGAAAAGAGATAAAGGCGTCATACTCCAATCAGTAATTACAGGAGAAATTTTGTTTAATGAGAAAAGATAATAGATAATTGAAACAGGACAGACAAAAAATATAAATATAATGATTTGAATTGAGATGAGATAATTAAAATAAAATTGAGAAAATTAAAAGATGGGAGAAGCTATGCAGAAAATGTAAAATAGTAATAACATATGGAATAGTATATAAAAATGAGCATGAACCTGAATTTGTGTCTGTACGAAGAAATGTAACCTGGGATTATGCTGCTTTCAAAAAAGATGTTTTATTTGTATTTTTTTTCTCTTTGTGAAAACTCAAATAAAATTTACAAAAAAAAAAAAAAAAGATTTGTGAACTTCAACCCCCAGAATTCCCCGGCCAGCATGTGTTAGGATTTTAAAACTAGATTTGTCAACATGCTATCTTGGACATAAACTCTCCTTAATACTCTAGTACTTAGTACTAGAGTATTACAACTTACTCACACTTATTAATTTAAACCTAAAAGGTTTTTAAAAATAAAACAATGACCCAAACCTTATGAGGCTTTAGAAAATCTTTTAAGATTCTAAAGCATAAAAAGAACCCAAAATCTCACAAAATTCTTACATGAATGCTAAAATCTCATAAGTATTTGGGTGCACTGATGAGTCAATGTGCAGGAATGTACGGTGCCCTTAAGGCATTGTTTGTTTTGGGTACAGTTCCATTCTGGACTCTTGTGCCTTACTTCTTTTCTTAAGGGAAAGATGGTATCTCCCCACTGTATCATCCTAAACATTAATAGTCAGGAAGCATTGTTATGTATAAGCCATCATTCACAAAAGATTCTCTGTATTCAAAATGAAGAACTCGTACATTCCATCTAAACTGACACAGGTAAGAGTTTCATAAAAAGTGGCACATGCAGATCTTACGTATGAGATACATCAGAGTGAGAAGAATAAGGAATACTATCATAAAAAATATCCTACACATGTACATCTATCGGAACTAAAGATATAAAATATACAAGCTGACAAAACATAAAACCAGTGCCAAAACAGTTCTAAAAGTGCAACATTAGAAGCAATACAGTATATTTTAGAAGCATTGAACCAAAGTTAAAAACAACGATTCTGAAACAGTCTCATTGATTTTAACAAGAGACTTGTTTTGAATCACATACCTCCCTCCCCTCCCATGTACACCTTTTAAAAAAGCCAAGTTCAAGGCTTAGAAAGTGGAAATAGAAGGCCATTGTAGCAATATTGATGTTTATTTAGAACCTACTCTGTTTAATTTGGATTCTTAATTCCACACAACAACATTGTATTTGAAACTTCCAGGTTCTATTTTCATTTCATTTTGTATCAACTCTACAGTGTTGGCCACTAAATTATTCATATACAATAGATGAGAGATTATGGCATTTGTGTCTAACACTGTGTGGATTTTATAAATATATTGTTTTGATTCATTTTACCTAGTGGATTGCTGTAAAGCATATTTGCATGTTTTTAAACAAGTTCATAACTTAGAATACCCTACAAAGAGCTGCTGCCATGACTATTAAGTCTTTAGATTAACATACCGTGAAAGTTGTCCCCCTTGACAGCACTCAAGGAGCCTGTTCATGGTGCATTTTTGTCTTTGTTTGTCCAATTCTTGCCGTGATGCTCAAACTAAAAAACAAAAATCCCCACCATGAAATCCTTACAGTGAAGTGCTCTTAATTGGGACAATTTTCAATGTATTTTAATTTAAGGATGCTTTTCCTTGTGGATTCAATTTATCTCCTGAAACTGATTTACACTTATCAGCAAAACTGTTACAACCACTCCCTTGGGCTGTTTTCCATGTTTTTAATTCTACAGGAATAGTAGCAACATGGAAGTGATGGCCCACATGGAGATAATATCCTCTTTGGCCAATTTAAGTGTTCCATCTTTGAAAACGATGTAGTTGTTGGTCTTTGATTTCATTCTTCTTACACAGTTCCTGCAATTTCAACAATCAAATTTAACATGGAAAGCAGTACAGAAAAGTGGTTCTCATTCTACTGAGGCAAGTTTTAACTAATGTCCCAGTCCAACTAACAGGTTTAATTACATCAACAGACTCATTCATATCCAATGAGATTTCATTTCTTTGTGTTTACAGTCTCAACAGACTCATTCATATTCAATGAGATTTCATTTCTTTGTGTTTATAGTGGTGCCTACACTTGATCTTCAATACTGAATTTAATAGTGTGTTTTTTTTTACATCTTTCAAATTTCAAAAATATTGTTTGGGAAACCTGATATTTTTCACAAAGCCTAGCAAGTTACTGTGCAATTCTTCACTTTGTGTTTTATGGAGCCAATATGCATATCTGGTAAATTATCTAATAGATACCAAAAAAAGATAGCTGTGCAGTAATCCTATTGAAAGATAATTAGATATAGATTATAAGAATAAATGTACATTTGACTCTTGAATTCCATTCCTAAAGAAGCAAGCACTTTCTTCCTATATTCAGAATCACTGATGGACAGGACTTTTTTCCCATTAAATTAACATGATGTATATGTATGCTGTCACTATCCAAAGTTTCCACTTACACAGAGAAATCGTTAATAAGCTTACATATTCATTTCACCCTGCATATGGAAGAGCTACCTGGTCTTTCATTCTTGCTTTTCTTGGTAATGCTACTGTAGATTCCGTTTCTGCTGCAATGCCAGTTAGCCTTTGTTCTAGTTCACAAGTATTTTCCTTCAGGGCTGCTTCCACTTTTCCTGTGGAAGGTGCAGGAGAGGAACAGGCTGAATCTGCTGGGCGTGGCGATATGCTCTCCATTCTGTTTGTGACACCAATCTGATCTTCTTCATCATCACTGGAGAGCACAACTGAAAACAAAAGCATTTACCTGATGTTTATATTTTATGATAATTAAAATATGAACTTTTAAAATTATCATTACACCTAAAGTTTACTATCAAATTCTAAATAAGAAGTTTAAGATAGGAAAGAAGTGTCTATTTAGAACAAGATAAAATTCTAGCTGTGTCCTCGTACCTGACCAGCATTGGCTGATCTCAAAAGCAAGAGCTGAAAGCTACAACAGGCAGGCCATGCTATTCATATGTAGGAATCTAAGATACAAATGCAATTTGTATTTTATATAACTTTAAAAGAATACATAAATATTCTGCTGTGCTCTAGGGTATGTTAAAGCAAACATCATAACATTTATAGCCTGCTTTTTCTATTTTAGAACTAAATGTGCGTTTCCTAGGTCGTCTCTATGAAAGCACTAAATACACATAGAACTCCCTAATTCTATATACATAGAACTCTGCTGCATCAGAGACCTTCAGAACATATTCCAAGACTATTAAATAATTCTAGTGATATATTTCCTCTTCAAAATAGTGAATTTAATTTTTACCTAGCTTTAATTTTTTTTTAAAAAAAAGACATACTTGGATCATTTAGCTCAGATGCTGTTGTAGTCTTCTGCCGCAAATGTCCAGTCATTTTAGAACCCACTTTTCCATTTGGACGTAACATAACTGTGCCTATGCTGCGCTTCACCATGAGGTCTGTAGAAACTGTACCAGTAGATGATCCATAAAACTTTCTTGCATTTAATCCTGTGCTTAAAGAATGTTGCTCTGTTGAACTGTCATGTATTGATTCTCGTGCCAAATTATCATGTAAAGGCATGGTTTGCATGGATTGTCTTTGCAAGCCTCTAAAAACTCCAGAAAGTTGGTGTTCAGTCTCACTTTCATTTGTTTTTCCAATGTGTGGGCAAATTATGGAGTAACTATCCAAGCCCTAGGGTTAAAAAAAGATGTTTTTGTGTGTATTTTAAAATCCTATTATGAATAAATGCAACAGTTGTTGAATACAACTTGTATATAGATTCATAGATCTGTTTTTTTAAAAAAAATAGAATTAAGCTCCAGTCATAAGTTACTATCTAATTTAAATTACCAGCTAATTCAACTGTTCTTTTGCTTTTTGTCAGGTTTTTGTCCCTGACATTTTTCTTCCAAGTCTCTCCCCCTATATTTTAACACTTTACTTTTAGCATCACAGCTTTTAGGTCTTTTACTTTTTATCTGATTTCAAAAATCTTCTTGCTGCTTACCTGCTCATTTCTTAAGAATATCCACTGAACATCACTTCAAATATTTAATCACAGATTTGTTGAAAAACAATGTTTTAAAATATTTACCACCTGTTTATGCAGTAAGAGCAATAATTCAGCAAGTTCACTACTTTACAACCTTACAATTAATACTGAAATATCTAGTTTATTTTCTAATGGAGTCTGTGTAAAAGAAAATAATTTTAGATTTAAAAAAAGCAAACTGTTACAACAACAATATTAGCAAAGGGATATGCAGCCAAATTGTGACAATTATAAAAGATTTCATAACCAAAGCTTTGAACTGTGGTTTTACCCTTTTAATAATGTCATTTCCTGACTTTAACAGCAAGTAAGGAAAAATAAAATTTTTAACCCACCTCTATGTGGGTTGCATTAGTTTTGGTGGCAGGAGATGGAAGCAAATCAGCCTGATATATACTGCATTGCCGTTTCTGTTGTACCCTCCTTGTAATTCCTGACTCTGATTCTGAACCAGACTCATCTCTGCTCTCCATCACTCTTTCTAAAAAAAATAAAAAAGAGGGAGATCGTTACTAATCACCACCAAATATCTTCACTGTAGAACAGCAACTGTAGTTTACTCTTTTGCTTTTCATCAGGATGAAGAAAAAATAGTTATTAATTGCTTCTGTCCAAGCACCTGTGCCCTATGATAATTCAAGGGGGGGGAAAGCTATTCATTCAAAACCACTGCTTCTCACACTAAGCAGCGTGTAGCTGAAATTTCAAATGAAAATTGATATACCAACATAAAGACCTACCGTATTTATCGGCGTATAACACGCACTTTTTTCCCCCTGAAAAT